TATTAAAAAATAGATTAAAAATATTATTTTTGTATATTGTATTTGAAATTTAAAAAACAAAATAGAACATTTAAATAAAATTATTCTTTAAATAAAAACGAGAATAAAATTTAAAGATATAATAAAATTATAAAAAAAATACTGCTTTAGAAATGAAATAGAATTTAAAAAAAATAAATAAATAAAAACAAATGTAATTATATTAAAAACTAGAGTAATAAAATTTAAAAATAAAATTTAAAAAAAAAAAACAAAGCAAGAAAAATGATCAAAATTATTTAAATATAATAAAAAAAAACAATTTTGGTTTTAAATTTAAGTGTAGAGTAACACGCCCGAGAAAAGGCCACAACTCTCCGAGCTGGTCAGTCACTCAATAGCACTTTTCAACACGATTATCTGCAAATTTTCTAGCAGCAGCAACCAACCAGGCTGACTCTTTTCAACATGTTTCCATTTTATGGCAACAGAACGTCTAAAGCCTCAGTCATATCGTACAAATGCAACAAGCAGCAGCAGCAACAACAAAAACCACAACAACAACAACAGCAACAGCATTAAAATGAACAGTCGCAACAGTAAGAGCAACTTCAACTTCCAAGCCCCTCCCCATCTATCCAGCTTTTACCAAACATCGGCAGCGCCAGCAAACTAATAATCATGACTTGTTAATCTTTTCGCTGTTTCTTCGCACTCGCTACTACTGCCTCTCTTGTTCCCTCCTCCTACTGACAACTTATCTCCCCTTGTTGGCTCGTTCTTTTTCCAAGCGGACATCATGCTATGGCGATTGCACATTAAGCCGCTTGGCCAGCCAGCAAAACAAAAAACAAACAAAGTGGGAGGCGAAAAGAAAGAAAGAATTGCTTGGATTTAACGGTTGATGGTGTTACTATTTATTCGACTTTTTAAAGTTGACGGTTGTTTGGCATTTCTCATCATCTGCATCATCTTTATCATCATCATCATCCAGATGAATCATTACTATAATGGACACATAATACGGTGGCAGCCACAACCAATTTTAGAACAAAGGGAGAAAAGCCATTGAACAGCGGAGCTCTTAGTATTGAATTTCGATTGCTATTTTCGCGTAAAGAATAAAACTGTGGGTTAAAACTACGGAAACCCAAATGTAATTAATACTTTAAATGCTGAAATGCATAAAATTAAATTCATGATTAACTTTTGTTTGATCCCTTAAAATAGAGATTTAAACTAAAACAAGTTAGCAATTAAATGTGTTTCTAAAAATGTTCTTAGTCTTATATTTGCAATAGATATGCAAGCCCACATTAAACGTAAGCTAACTTTGACGTTCAGTTTCGCATGGAGGTAGAGGGTAGAGTAATACTATCGATTCCATACACGTAGGTTGATTACTAAAGAACATAACTACCTCAAGAATTCGACCTTGATAGTTTAACTGCGTTTTGGTTAAGTGCCAAAAATTCCTCAGCTAAGACGTGCGCGTAAATAATTCTGTTTTTTGATGCTTTTCCAAGCCACTGAAGCGCAAGTCTTCGTCGTCTAGGTGTCAACAGCACAATAGTGAGGAGATGCCAGGTAGGGGAAGGGGAGAGCGGTTGGGTAATAAGCTAGAAGAAGAAGAGGGCAAGTAGTGGAGAATGTTGAGAGACAGGCATTGTTTTTGATACTGCAAGGTTGCTGGTGCTTGTCGTTGGTTTTTGGCAGGCAGGCAAGTAAACTGGGAAGGAAACGAAAAAAAGAAACCACAACAACAGTGAAGTAGAGAAAATGTTTTCCAAGGATAACCACAAAATAAAGCAACAACTTTAAGAATGTTATAGCATGCGTCTATCTTGAGGTACGGGTGGTGGTGGTGGTGGTGGTGATCAGGTGGTGACACCCGCCCACTACATTGCACCACAATGTGGGTGGAAATGCAACGCATTTATAGAGGACGCGGAGGGGAAATGTGCTCTCACATGAAGCGCTTAAACGTTTTATGAGTTGCCGCTGGCACGGCTCTCATAATGAAAGTTTACGCCTTCTGGTGTAAATGCGTGAAGTAAACTTTTAAAGGTGACACAAAAAGTGGTTAAGAAATTTTTGTGGGATTGGCAGAAAGCGAGCGTAAATACAAAGAAGACTTTTATGAGGGTTTCGGGAAGTAAACGAAGTAGAAGTTACTTCGAGTCCGATAGCATATATATAGAGATACTATCTTATACTATTAACAAGATAAATAACAATGATTGTAAACTCACGTTTATTACAATTTTTAACAATTTATATATACTTCGTTGAAACCTTTCTTAAGCCTCGTGAATACGGGCCTCTTTAATGTCAAGCTTTCAAACTAGCTTGGAATAGCTTTAATAATTGCCCAACCTAGGACAGATCTTAAATAAAGAATAAAGATTTAAAACACCAAAAAAACAACATTAAAATTTTAAACTCTAGACTACACGGAGAAAAAAGTATGGATAATTCAGAAATTCTTATTACAGTTATAAACAACTGAAACAAGATTGTTTAACAATTGAGGTTTTAAAATTGCTTAAACGAAAATATGATTAATACCAATTACACTTTTAAACAATACTTGTTTGCTCTCCTCTCTCCTTTTGAGGCTGTTTTATTTTTTAGATTATTATTATTATTATCTCTAAATAGATTTTAAAGTCGCTTTTGGGAATGTCGGCTCTTGAAATAAAATTGTCCAAAGTTAATTTGGACAATGAAGAGATAGGAAGGAATCGACAACAAAAAAAAAAAAATCAGCATACAACTCGTCGTGAAATTGAAAATCAAATCTGATAATATAAACTACTATTCATTTATTTATTTATTTTTCAAATGTAAATGCAACAAATACATAATATGTGCATAAATAAAAAGCTTTTATTCTTCCATTCTAACCATTAAAAGTCAGTCAGCAGCCAACAGCAATCATTATACCCTGTACCCAAAGGGTACAAGGGTATATTAGTTTTGTGCGAGTGCACATGGAACACACAGAAGGAGGCTTGGTAGACCCCACAAAGTATATATATTCTTGATCAGCATGACAAGCCGAGTCGATATAGCCATGTCCGTCTGTCCGTCTGTCTGTCCGTCTGTCTGTCTGTATGAACGCAAGGTATAAGTATAAGAGCTAGAATAACCAAACTTGGTATACAGATTCTCCTGAGCCCGAGAAAGGACGAGTTTGTTCATTTTTTCTGATCCACCCCCCCCCACTCCCCCCCCCCCCCCTATTAACGATTTTCTATAACTCCCGTAATTCTTGGAATTTCGAACTAATTTGGTAGTCACATTAAGTTAGTAATTATATATCCGTATACCAAGTTTCATTATGATAGAATGATCGGAAAGAAAGTTATAGCCATATAACCAGGCCCAATGCACACATACATACATATGTACAAGTACACAAACACGCTTAAGCACGATTCTGATGTAAATGTAAATGTATCTATGCATGCATGGAATATTTTATATTTAACTTAGTTAATTAATTAAATTAAATTAATTAATTAAATTAAATTAAATTAAATTAATTAATTAATTTAATTAAATTAATTTAATTACTTTTTTGTGGGGTGGTACAGGGTATTTAAGAGTTGAGCCTGCTCGACTTTAGCATTCCTTTCTTGTTTTAGTTATAAAACAGTATACTTGCTTTTCAAAATAAATATTTTTAACTCCTAACAGATTTTATTAGATTTTCTTTTTACACTTTTTGGAAAGAGTTAACGAATTCAATTTGTTAAAATTGTAAACAAATTCGAAAATAATATAATTTATTATATTATATCATTTAATTTCCAAACAAATAAAAACACATCATTGTTTTTCGCTGGACTGTTCAAATTTCTGTATATTTGATTCCTGAATATTCATATTTCTGTAAATTAGATTCCTGTACACGGGCTCTTTGGAAGAGCTAAAGCACATGCCAACCACACATTTAAACTTTTTTAAATTTCTCTAAAAGGACATACAACCCTACTTACACCCCTACACGCTTTGCTGCCCGTACGACAGAGTGCCTGCCGCTCAGGCCGGAATGTCCGCCCACTTATTGCTGACCTTTCTTTTGACAAATTGATTTCTGCTTTTTCTGTATTCTCACTCTCTCTCTCTCTCTCTCTCTCTCTCTCTCCCTCACTCTCTGTCTCTTTCTCTGTTTCTCTACATTTTGGCTCAGTCAAGGTCTTCACTTTTATGGCATCTATCGCTGGACAAAGAGCTTGTGCGTAAATAATAAATAAATAAATAAAAAAAAAAAAAGCACTGGCGAAAAGTTTGAAATGAAATTGAAAACGTTACGCATGCGTTTTCAATGGCTTTTCATGTGTACTTTGTGAATGGCTTGTGTCGAAGTTTTTTAAGTGTATGATGGATATATGGGTATATATGTGTGTGCTGGCCCCCGCTTTCAAACATATCGAATAACACAAAGATAAAATTGATGCTGCGCGTCAAAATGGCAGCGACGAGTTCAACGGCAAGATGGCAGGATGAAAGGAAGGAAGTAAGGAAGAGTTAATGGAAATTGCATTTGTGCAACTTTTTTTTGCACCATGGATGCATGGATGGATGGATGGTTGTGTGCCACACACATGAAGCTGACCAATTGCAGCCTCATTCCACACACTCCACCTCGTCAGCAACGCTTTTGCTTCACTGTTCACTGAACTGCACATCGCAATGCACGAAATTTGATCTTTTGTGAAATGGCAGTAGAGTGGCAGCGCAGTTGTTTGTTTGTTTGTTTGTTGACTGTTGCCAAGTTTGTCGGGCGAGGCAATAAAAGTAGCAGGCACGCATATAAAATTGTCATAAGTTATGAGCTGTTTAAAGCGCGCGCACGCCCGGATAAGGAAAATCGGTGGAAGCAACTGCAATGCAAGGATAATGCATTCATATCAGGACACATAGACACACACACACAGAGACCAGACCAACAGCACCATTGCAGCAGAAAGTACAACAATAATAAAAACAACAACAACACCAAATACATCATTATGAAGCTTTTGCCAGCAATTGTCGTCGAACTCTTCCTTCTCCTGCAACTTCAACTGCCGTCCAGCAATCTCGCAGCGCCCGGCAGCAGCAGCGGCGAACGGTAAGAACGGCAATAGTCAGTTTCTCATAAATAAGGACCATAAATTTTCATACAGTGCAGCTTCAATATAACAAATTCAAAAGTTACCTGGACGCCAAAATGGTGAACATTTGTGAAATCCGTTTGTTTTTCCCCATTCTGTCTTCAATTTAGAAAAATTAGTATTTGGATTATAAAAACATTCAATTCAAGTTCACTTGGCCTTTTCAACTCTCCCATGCGATTCTATATTCAATTCTCTTGGGCAGCTCCGTTCAGAAGGTTGCTCTTTAATTTGTTAAAATTTTCAATTCAAATTTTCCATCTTCTTACTAAGTCGACACTCCCAATTCGACATCATTTTACAGCTCTCTCCAGCTCTCTCTTTAAATTGATTTAAAACTTAGTTAAGGTAAATGTTTACTCTTCAAGCGTCTGCAGTTCGGTTTGAAATTTTATTTTCTTTAATTGTGTTGTTGAATCAAATTAAAAAAAAAAAAACAATTTTCGCGATTTCACTCTTTTTATCCTCATTTCTGGTTACTTTTCCCTAATTTTGAATTTTATTTCGGGTTTCCTTTCTTCTCTTTTCTGATTTGGCTGCCATTATTTCCATAATTCCACCTTTTAATTCACTTTCACAAATGCAAAGAATAATTAAACGTTTTGAAAAATTATATTCAATTATTTTAGAAAAAAATGAAATAAAAAAAGTAATTAAAATAAATATAAAACATAAATAAAAAAATATAATTAAAAAAAATATAATTAAAAAAATAAATAAAAAATATAAAATATAAAAAAATACAAAATATAAATAAAATAAAAAATATACATAAAATAAAAAATATAAATATTAAAAAAATATATAAATAAAATTAAAAAAATATAAATAAAATAAAAATAAAAAAAATTAAAATATAAATGAAATTAAATATGAAAATAACTAAAATTTATCAAATATAAAATAAAATCGATCCAAAAATAAGTAAAATTAATGAAATAAATAAAATTAATGAAACAAATAAAACAAAATCGCTCCAAAAATGTGAGAAACCGCTTTAACAGAGAATAAGGCAAAAGCAACCGGCATCGTTGTCAGAAACCAATAGATACTTATTCTAAAGAAGTAGTGGAATATACTGGAAGTTATGAAAATATTCTCAAATTATTTACTGTTAATAAATAATGTTTTCTCAATGTAAAGATGTGTGATGCACATTCTTAATTTGAATTCATTTTAGAGCATTCGAACTGTATGTTATCTCGTATTTTGTTCCCGCAGCGTGCACATCAAGGTGCATATGCCGGAAGTTATGCGCCAGCATACGCATTTCCACAAGGTCTACAAGCACCAACCCCAACCCGTACACGTCTATCCACCTCCACCGATGGTAGTGAAGAAATTGCCGGAGGGGAAGCCGCATGTGTCGCTCCTTGGTTATACAACAACAGCCAGCGGTAATTCTCCTGGTGGCATGGCGCCCACCATTATGCAGCTCATGAACACGCAGCAGGGCATGAGGATGGAGGGAATGGGACTAGGGATGGGGCAGGAGATGGGCAGGGAAATGGCAGCTGAACAGCCCTTGCAGACGCCCAACTATGGACCAGCACTGTTCGATAATCTCAGCCAGTTGGATGGGCAGCCACAGTCAAAGGATGTGGAGCAGGAAATGTTGTTGTTGCAGCCGACTGCAGCAACTACAACAACAACTACAACATTGGCCAAGTTGCTGGGCAATCGACAGCAGAAGCAACAGCAATCCGAGGCTGGCAATTCCTCATCGAAGCAGCTGTTGCAACAAATCTTTACTCCGAATATTATGGCCGCCATTTTGGCAGCACAACAACAACAACAACAACACCAACAACAACAGCAGCAACCGCAACAGCATAGCAGCAACTACAATGAGGATGAGGATGATGCGGATACACTTTTTGGTCACAGCATTGGCGCCGGGACCGGTTTGGAGAACGATTCGCAACTTAATGGCGATTTCTTGGCTGCCCTGCAACGCGAGTATTTGGAAAAATATGGGGGCCCACAAATCTACAATCGACACAAGCGCAAGAAATATGGAAGACAGGGCATTGGTGAGGGTCAGTTGCCGAACCGATTGAGATCTCAGCATAGACCAGCTGCGCAGCATTATAGCAAGAACTATCTCTATGATATCGATGATGAGCAATCCGATGATTATGCAACGCCCTATCAAAACCCTTATAGCAATCAGCAGCCATCATCTTTTCCAGATAACGACTACGAAACTGGAGATGATCAGCATTTTGGCGCTGTTGACAGTTATACGGCAGATAATGCCATGGCCTTTAGTGGTCAGGATAATCTGATAAGTGCTCTGCCTACTGTCGATGATTTTCTGGAGGATGCCAGTACTACAAGTATGGGACTGCCATCGGAACCACTCTATGCCAATATGTACGATGCCTATGTCTCGGCAGATGAAGAGCAAAGGCATAAAAACTTGCCAAACATGTGGCAATCGTCCACAAGAGTAACTGGGGGAATGCCCTCATCATCCTATATGCAACAACACCTAGTAAACAGACCCACAACAATGTCTGGCACAGACACGGGTGGGGGGCGTCCACGTCCTAGAAAACCAGCGAAAATGCTGCGCTATAGAACCGGCAGTAATGCTAAATTGCGATATGTTCAGACAGCACCTAGAAAGAAGCGCAAAAATCGCATCACAATCAAAAGACATCGCATATAAAAGTATGTTTAAGGGAAAGGCTTTAAAGCAATAGTTCAGTTCTGTAACCTCAATGGTTGCAAATTAGACTCGAACTACTTTTAGCACTCACTTTCAAAACAGTTTAATATCTTATAAACATTTCTCATCTGAATGACTCTTAATAACTGTTCAGAATGCATGTTAATTTTAAGATTTAGTACAATAAAGTTAAGATTTAAGTTGAAGGTTCAACTGATATATTTAAACTATTTTATTTTTAAATAGTTGATAAAATATCAGGACTAAGAATCGCCATAGTGTCGATGCATGGTCTTTTCGCGAAAAAAATAATTAATTCTTTTTAGATATATAATTTAGTTAACAGTTGTTTTTTTTTAATAATGAAGTGAACAGTCTTGCATTGTGTCGCCATGAAGCAAAGACCTAAGCGAAGTTATATTTGAACAATTTCATATATATATTTTTTTAGCGACTATTGCTCTTATGACTTTATTTTGAAAAGAGTTCACACCGACCACCCCTTTATAAGCAGCTTGATCTTGGTCGATCGATCCGGATAATATAAATATATTTTCTTACTATAAATAGTTTATTCCATGACGCAACAGATTCGTTAATTTCAATACATACCGCTTATAATAATTAATAAAGTTGTTCAGTTACATTTGCAAGCACTCACCTGAAATAAAGGAAAGAGAAAAAGTATTAAGTACAAGTGTTAATATGTATATTTTAAATAAACTACATTTCTTTATATTATTTTTAATTATTTATTATTTACTATGAGTAGAAAAAACTTTTCTAATAACAAAAATGACAACTTGCTAAAAAGTTATTTTAAAAAGTATTTCCGTAATAAAAGGTTAAAATTATAATGTGTTTTGAACTCCGTTTTCTTTCTAAGCAATGCAGATACATTGATTATAAAGAAGAAGAACCTATTGTAAAATGGATCCAGGAAAACCTAGTGGAAATAGGGTGAATAATAGATATGCAAAAATTGGCGTTTTTACACATTTAAAAAAGTAGTCGTTCGAATTGTTCAATTATCTACATAATTCACAAAATTAAAATATTTATAACACTTAATATAAAATCTGTGGAGGCATCATAGTATATAATATTCGTACATTGAAAAGTTATGTAAACAACATCACATCAGATCGATATTAACCTAAGTAGAGGAGTTGACACTACATTTTTTCCGCTTGAAATACGTTTCGTTCGTCAGATTCCCCAGCGAATAATTGATTTATTAATTAAAAGGTTGGCAACACCGCAACAATTCATTCGCCGCTGTTCAGTTGTCCTTCATGTCCACTTTGTTTGTTGTACTATCAGCCACCCCGAACTCCACCCCCATCGAGCACAACAATTATTTAGTCCATTATATGAGCACACAAAGCCAAACCAAATGACTGCAACCGTTCTCCAAAGCAAATAAAGAATACAATTAAATATGTAGACCGACCCGACCCTACCCGACCCATACATGTGCATAATACATAGTCATAGAGAGAGAGAGGGGGAGAGAGAGAGAGAGGGGGGAGTGTGAGGGAATCACACAATCACATAGTCGACCAAATAATAAGTAGAAATGCTAATAAAATTCAATTAAAGGCCACAAAATTACAATAAAAGTGGCAAGCCAACTAACTCTAGACTGTCTTCACTTCCACTCCCCCTCCTCCCCCTCCAAAGGATGCCTTAGTAGTGTTGCCATCCGACCCACTGAGGGCGGTAAGGTGGCTGCAGCAGCACATGAAAAGTCAAAATTAACGACTCATTTGGGCAAATTGAAGCCATAAACTACAAGGCAGCGCACTCCAAGCCAACAACAACAACAACAGCAGCAGCAGAGGAAACAAAAAGCAAATCAAGCAGCAACCCTCTTCCTCTTCCACTCGCACACACACACACACCCGCACAGCAGCCGACATTTGGCAACCCTGAACTGGCGTCAGTTTTCATAGCAATGGCAGCCAAAATATAAATTACGCAAAATTCCAAGTGAGTGACGACGACCCCCGCATTTTCCCAGCTCCCGGCCTACACATTTGTTGTTCACATCCTGATTTTGTTTTTGGCGCAAATTTTTATTTTATTTTAGTGTGCAATAAAAATGTGACACCAAGTGACAGTAAGACAGCAAGACAGCAAGACAATCAGCCAGCGAGCTGCTTGATGACAATCCTGCCCAGCAGGCCTGACTGCCTGCCTCCCTGCCTGCCTGCCAGCGTGCTTCGTTATGTAAAACATTACTGCATACTTTTGGGCGAAATTAAAAGCGTGCAAGATTTGCCATGTGATGGGCATGGGGCGTGGCCCCAGCATCAGCTTTTATTATAGTGCGTAGGCGTCGTTGTCACAACAAGAGCTCGTGGTGCACGAGGGGGTTAAGAAGTGGCTGGGCTGGGCTGGGCTTAGCCGTCGTTGGGGGCATATAAAGTGTTGATGTATCAGCCATATGACATTTATTGTTTAGACGATGTCTGTTTCGTGGTTAGGCCAAGATCCTTGACTGTTGGACTGGTGGGTGGGCGTTTATTATGGCCAACAGATGGCGTCATCTTGTCAGAACGGGGCGGACAGAGTAGAACGAGTAACAACATGGCTGGCTTGCTTGTGGCAACAAGTGGCAAGTGGGCCAATAAATGTTGTACGTAGCTCGCCTGCCTCGCTGCCTGGCGGTTTTGTGATTTATAGAGGTTTCTGTGGCGCTAATAGAAATGTATTTACGATTTAACGTTTAAGCATAATAAACATTGATCAAATGGCGTTTATATTGTACACATACTATATGTATATAGCATATACATATGGGATAGAAAGATGCTGGCAAATATAAGTCAATAAAATGTACGATTTGTTTGGCAAAGTGTTTGTATAACATACGGCCCAAGATTGTAGATAAATAAATTTAATGACACAATTATCGCGCTCTTACACTAATGCTTACACTAAGGGAGAATTTTTCATTTTCGTAATATTTTATTACTTTCTTACGACAAGTGGTATTTTTTCATAGATAATAGATAATGATTTCCTAAGACCCGTTTCTGAACTGAGATTATTATATTTTAATTGTGATAGCTTGGAGGGAGTTTAAAAGTGTAAAGCATTACATAAATGTAAAACTCTAGAGAGATAATTGATGACTTTTTACTATTTTTTATACAGCGATTTTCATGTTATAATGAGTTATCTAAAAAGCAATTGTGATGTTTCAATCACTTAAATGATTTATTCATAGCTAAGCTTATAGATGTCTGTTAAAAACATTATTTTATAGATCACTTGCGAATAATTAAAACTCTACTACTACCTATTACTGAAATGATTCCTAGAGTTGAAAACTATATTTGAGAAACATTTAGAAAACATATTTAAAAGAGTTCCATCAGCTATAACTGAAATTTCTTAGTCATATAGTAGATGAGTAATAAATATTTATTATATATTATATCCCAAGAATTTAGAGCTATACATTTCTAAAGAAAACTCAATTTTTTCTTTTCTCATATCGCGACTTTCTGAAAAAAAATTTCCATAACTTCAGAAAAGAGGATTAGAATGTGTTGCCAACAGGTATTCTGAAATCAAATCAACTGTTTAAATCTATTGGTAGTATAGAAATATAGAATGAGATTGTTAAAATTTCAATGCAGAATCGTTTTTCGATCCTTTTTAGCTTTATGAAGAGTTCAAATTTGTGTTAATAAATTCCTTATTAAAAGAATGTAATGCTTTTAGAAGCTGTTTGAAATCTAAAAAATCTGTAAAAATTATACTAATAATTCGCAAAATACATATTTTCCCATTACTTGTATATCCAAATTATATTTCAGTTTCAAAGAGAAGTGTTTCATTTTGAAAAGAAACGTTTAAAGAAAAGCTTTTATGCCATAAAAATCCACCTAGCCACCCACTTCATAGCAGAAACAACAGGACACAATGCCAGCAATTTCCGGTTTTCTATGTATAGCGCAAGTGACATAAAAGCCTAGCAATATTCTGCAGCAATAGTCCCACAATTCTGAACACAACAAAACCCCCTCCCCCTACGAACGGCCCATGCACATAGGAGTACAAATAAACTTTATAAGCCTAATAAAAGTTTTTATGTCTCTCTGCATGTTTGTTGTTGGTGTGTGCGGCAGAAGCAGACGATGTCAAAATGAATGAAAAAATAATTTCATTTTTGTTGCAAGAACACAAAATTAATTTTCCAGTTCAACAGCATCACATAAACCGCTCACTTCTCTTCTCAGCCTATACAGAACACAACCTTCAATCAGCAGCGGTTTCGGTTCGTCTTCGTGGCGATTCGTTTCCGTTTCCGTTGGCGTTGCCCAACAAGGAATAAATATATCATTAACACGCATTAAACCGGGACGCTGGCCTGCAATTTTGCCATCCAATGCGAATCATTTGTCATGCTCCATCGTAGCAGTGGGGGGCGGAGGTGTGGTCCGAACTCGGGCATTGCGACGCCATTTGCAATTCGCTCTATTAGCTTCATTCGAGTGGTCCAAGTGGCCATGTTGTGCTAATTTTCACGCGCTACTCTCTCGAGAGGGGTGGCTGGCTGGCATGCAGGATAAATGACTAGAAATTGTTTGCTGGTTGGCATAAAAATGCAACGCCACACAATTCATTAATTAAATTAATTTGTGGCACTTAAATGCTTGCAAGGCAATGAGTATGATTGTTCCTAGACAGGCGGGGTGAGGTTGAGGGGGAGTAGGGTTATGTTCGCTGCACTAGACAAGCAGCAAAGTCATCATCAACTCCACAACCGAGTCATTAGTTATGTGTGTTTTGCTCCCATTTTACTTCTTTTTTTTTTTGGGTCATCATGTTCATCAATTCCCTAGTGAGAGGGGAGGGAGAGACACCGCAATTTAAATCGCATGTGCGTTCTCGAAAATAAATAGTAGCAAGTAGGGTGTGGCCTTCAACTACACCACAAATGGGTTAAGTGTTCGCCCTCCATGTGTGTGGAACGATAACACAGC